ATATATAATCATTTTATTTAAAAAGTGCCTTTCCGGACACCCAAGGACACTTTACAGTAAGAAACATGTCAAAAAGATTGTGTAAAAACAAACAACAAGCACAGTGCAAAGATCAACAGGAATAAATTGAAATAAAAAAATACATAAAGAAGAATATAAAATACATAAAGCAAAGTTAAGGATAAGAGAGTTTAAAGACATGTGTTTTCAGAGCAATCTTGAACAGAGAAAGAGAGGTGGTGTTTCTTAAGTCAGGGGGTAGAGAGTTCCAGAGATAAGGGGCACAGCATGTGAAGGTCCTGGAGAGGCGGGCAGAGGGTACATGGAGGTGTAGTGAAGAGGAGGATCTGAGAGAGCGAGAAGAGATGGAGATGTGTAGGAGGTCAGATAGGTAAGGAGGGGCAAGGTTGTGGGTAGCTTTGAAAATGAGAAGAAGAAATTTGAAGACGATGCGTGATTTAACCGGGAGCCAGTGGAGCTGCTGCAGGACAGGAGTGATGTGGTTATAGGAGGAGGTTTGAGTGATGACACGGGCAGCTGAGTTATGGACCATTTGCAGCTTCTGAAGAGATTTGTTGGGGAGGCCATAAAGAAGGGAGTTGCAGTAGTCAATCCGAGAAGTCACAAGACTGTGCACAAGGATGACTGTCGAGCAGGGGGTGAGAGAAGGGCGGAGACGGTTAATATTTCGGAGATGGAAATAGGCAGACCGAGTAACATTGTTGATGTGTGAAGTGAAGGAGAGCATGGTGTCGAGGATGACACCAAGACTCTTGACCTGAGACGAGGGGGATAGCAGAGAGTTGTTAAGGGGGATGAGAAGATGTTCTGATTTTGAAATAGAGTTTTTGATACCGACAAGAATGATTTCTAATTTTTCACTGTTTAGTTGTAGGAAATTGTTATTAAACCAATGATTTAGCTCATTGAGACAGTCTGTGAGGATGGAGGGTGGGTGGGTGGAGTTTGGTTTTGTTGACTCGTAGAGCTGTGTGTCATAAGCATAACAGTGGAATTGGACAGTAAATTTGCAGAAGATGTGACCTAGAAGAAAGAGGTAAATGATGAAGAGGAGG